AGCTCCTTGTCTATCCGACTTTCCTAGCCCTATGCGATTGCTTTGGCTGGGCGCTCTGGTGGCCATTGTCGTGGCGGCCATTTGGCGCGGGGATTTGCTATGGAACGGTGGAAGGACCGGATCCAGAAATCCATGTCACCCAAGTGGTAACCCAAGGCCACAAGGAGCCCATCACTTTTGAGTTGGAGGCCATCACTAGTAGATCGGGCAAACCGTCCTTCGGTTGCAGGGGCTCAAACGAGTAGTGGAATCCCAGGTCTTTCCCCAAGAGTCGGCAGAGCTGTCAAAAAGGCAGCGCTGGAGCACTTCTCAACTCCATACCTTTCTCCAGGAGCCTTCCTTTGCTGAACTTTTGGCGCTCGAAAGGCTTCAGCCTTGAGCAGATGCCAGACCTCACGGGAAAGGTCGGAGTGCAGATGTGTTGCACAGTCGGTCGGCGTGCGCTTGATGAGTTGGGGGCTAGGCCCTCCCGACCTCAGCAGTTGCTTTTCACGTTTTAGGTTGGAGGCCATCTAACAAGGGCATCGCTTACTAGGAACAAGAAGCTACTAGGGGCTCCTGGCCATACTACTAGGAGCAAGGATGCTACTAGTAACAAAGGGCATCGCTCACGTTTTAGGTTTGAGGCCATCGTTGTCATCGTCACCCCGAAGTGCGTGGTCGTCCATTCAGTGTTTGCCTCAGGTGGCGTTGGTGACTGGTGCCTCCACAGGCCTTGGCCGCGAGGTCGCAAGACAGTTGGGGACACCCAGTGGTTGGAAAACGCCACTGGATTTTTGCCACATGAAACCTTGACACCGGGGTGAGGGTTTCAGTGCAAGCGCGACTATGGAAATAGAAAAGGAAGATGACAATGGAATCATGAGTTTTTGCTGTTGATGAAACACTTGGGATGTCACTTGATGTCGACAAGTTGTCCTGTCAACACCCAGCAGAACCTTGCTCCAAGAGACATTTTCCATTGAAAGGTACGGAACATGTCCGTGAGGGGCACCTGCCAGCCAGACTGTCGATCTAAGGCAGTTGACTATGTAATGCAGTGGCGCCAAACGAGTCAGTTCAGTTAAACCACGACTCTAGATCTGATCCAAAAATGGAAGACCAATCAAACACTTGTCCCAATCCCAGAACCATCTCAATAGGTTATTAGGTTTCTTAAAGTCTGTTTCATATTTTTTTGTCAATTATAATGTGACTTTGTTCGACCTAAGGTTGAGCCGCGCCAACGCCACTGTCTTCGTGGCCTGTCGCGAGGTCTCCCGTTGCTCGGACTTCGCCAACGTGGTCCGCTTGGACCTCGCAGCGCCTCGGAGGAAATGCCCAAACGAGAAAGCTTTTTGGATGCGCTTTTCAGGACGCTACTAGGAACAAGTGCATCGCTTCTAGTAACAAGTGCCTTACTAGTAGTCACAAGAAGCTATTAGAAACAAGAATTAAAATTAGAATTAGCACGTTGTTTTTCTTCCCTTTTTTTTGTTTTGTTTTTCGTTTGTGCAACATGGTGGTGGCCAACCCGACTCCAACATGGAGAACGCTCTTGACAACGTCGAAAGACGACCATAGGCCACCTTAGGCCTTTAGTGAGGTGAAAGAAAAACAACAAACACTCCCCCAACCATATTATTCTTCTCTCTTTGTTTTGGTTTTGCTTTTTCTTTCTCTCTTTGTTTTCTAAAGGAAGACAACATTGGGTATTTAACTTTCACAGCGACAGGACTTGCAGCAGACTGCAGAGGCCGCTAAGGAGCTGAAGCGGCGGCTACCGGCGTTGCACATCTTGGCATTTTGGCTGATTCCTCCAACCTACTAGCGATGGCCTCCAACCTATTGGGCAGAGAAAGAAGCAACAGGAGAAATGCAGATGCATTGAACACGCCAATAAACCCAATCCATCATGAGTTGTTCTTAAGGCAGATGCAGCTTTCCTGTGTGAGTCCAGGTTCATGGAAGTGCACATTCCGGTCCCATTTGGTAACACCAGGGTCTGAAGCGGAAGTTGCAGACCCGTGAGTCCATATTCCATATCCTTGCGAACGAGATGAGTTTAAAGTTGAAGCTTGTTGGATGTTTTGCAGATCACCAAAGCCTCTTTGTCACCATACGACCTTCAGAGCCGAAACCGAGGTGAACAACGCTGGCGTTGCCACCCAGTTCCCACATGGCCTCACAGCCGATGGGGTTGAAACCACTTTCCAGGTGACTTGGCGTCCTTGCTCCTAGTAGCGATGCCAGGAGTCCCTAGTAGCTTCTTGTTCCTAGAAGTACGGCCAGGAGCCCTTAGTAGCGTCCTTGCTCCTACTAGCGATGCCCTTTGCATTTTGGACTTTGCATTTTGGAAGAAAGAACAGAGAGAAACGAACAAGTGGTAGCCAAAGGGCTGCGTACTTCTCAATGACGGGGTGAGTGAATTGCAACATGTCGCAGCCGCTGTCGCTGCCATGTCTTCCACTTGTCTCCAAGCTGATCTGCGGTTTTCCCCTGCCGTCCTGCCTCCCAAGCTTGTGAGTAAGGACGCTGCTAGGGGCTCCTGGCCTTACCACTAGGAACAAGAAGCTAACGTAAAGGATCACGGGTAGTTTCACCACTTTTGCAAGTTTGCTGAGGACTTTGACCCTAAGAGGTTAACGCTTGGCCAAATTTGGCTCAAGGCTG